ATTCTATAATAATTCTATTATATTTTAACTTTTATATACTTGAATGACATGTATTTTTCTTTTCACCTCTTTTAACTTTGTAAGCTGCCTTGAGTCCCAAGGCTAGGTAAAAGGCAGGATAATGATAATAATAATAATGACAAAGATGAAAGTTGTAACCTGGGCTTCTTCAGGAAACCTCCAAGAATGACTGAGAGGAGGATTTACATTGCAAAAGGTGTGTCCTGACCATGCTACCTAGTGGGATGGGTTGCGAACATTTTGCTGGCTATCTGTCAGAATTCAACAATCTGTGCAGACTTGGCCTTACTTAGACCATTTCCACCCATTTTGCAGAGCCTTCCTTTTAAAAGCAATAATAATCTGGCATGTTTTCCTTAGGTTTTCTGGTGGATCTGGTCAAAGTTACTGACAGTCTCCTGAACAGTATAGGGATGAAGCTTGAGTTGGGGGAGCTTGAAATATAACTTTTCTTACTTGGAAAAGTTTCATGCCAATACAGGGTTTCAGCCAAGATTTTTCAAGAAATCTGATGTAGGCTCAGTTTGCCTTGAATTGAGGTTGCACCCTTTTACCATGGCTGCTTGTTAGTTAACCCTCCTCCTTCCAAACATAAAAGGCAGCTGCTAGCAATCAAGGTGCTACCTAGTCAGGAGTCCCATTTATTGCTTGTGCCTCTTTGGCCATTTCTAGGTGCCTTGAAAAAGCAGGTGATGGAGACAGTCCTTTTCCCACCTCTCCACCATCACTAAGGGGCTTTTGGATAGACTGCTCTTACTCCTAATCATCAAAACTCATCATGCAAGTTTTCCATCTTTTCTTTGTCAATAGATTTTCTTAGTAGAGGGAAACACAGGATATGGAAGGTACGGTCACTTGGATCCCATTAAAATTTTGTGAATGAAGCAGCAGTATCCTGCAATAAATGCCTATGAATATTACCAGTTTTAAAATGCGTTGGAGGGAGAAGGGAAAACCACCAAAATAACTTGTTTTTTTTTTGTTTTTTTTTACAATTTGTGTTTTTCTGAGCACTCAAAAATTCTCAGTGCTTTTTGAGTGGTTGCATAAACTGTCGTCTGTGCAGAATGTAAGCCAAGACAAGCAAAGCAGAGTTTTCACATCGATAAGCAAGACACTGCTGGGTCATGTAGGCCAAGCTTCACAATCTGTGACCAGGTCGAATACACTCCACTAACCATGTACTCTGTGATCTGGTTCAATATTTGGTGTTTGCAGAGTACCAATCAGGGAATAAAAAGGGAAATTATATTGAGTGCCCCCTCTGATCCTGAACAGCTGCCTTCAGCTGCAGAGCCTCACGGATTGTGCAGGTCTTTGCCAATGTGGAAATATCACCCCCTGAAAGCAGATGTTGCTGGGATGCTTTCTTTCGTCAACTGGTTGCATGCTCAGTAAACGCTGCATCCTTGATTAATTGTGTTCTTAGAAAATCCTAATACTTTTGGTCAATATACGCTTGGCAACAGTGTGCAAACATGTGGCACAGTGCCTGCCTGGATGCTTTACGGTGTGACCCAAATAGGCTGACACACATTTATGATGGAGACCCTGACAAGTGAAATGGGACTCTTTTCTCATTCCTCACTCTGTCTTCACCCTACTTGATCAATTAGGATTGAGGGGTGTGTGTGATGCTGTTTGGGTTAAATGAAGCCTTGGGTATTAGCCAAATCCAACTCAAAAGGTTTATAGAGTACAGAGACAGATGTGTGACTTTAAAAAAAAATAGAAAAGGATCCGGGTATCTTTGGGTGCCAATATGGAACTTTAGCTTTCTTTTTCTGTCTGAAGAGTGAGGGCAGGTTTTAACTTATAATAGAACATGCAGCTCACTAGGCAACATATCAGTGCCTTCAAGACAGTTAACAATATGGTGTGAAGCTCCATGATAAAACTATCTCATGCTTAAATTTAAAATTAAACGTTTGTTCTTCATCACCAGCACTGTTGTGTTATCTAATGCAGCACAACTCAGAGTGGTGGTCCATGGTGCCAGTCTACATGCCATCAGTTGTTGATCCATGGAGAGTTATCTGATGTGGGACACAAGTATGGTACTGATCCCTGGCGCATGAGAAAAAAAGGTACTGGTCCACCACATCTGATACCCTGAGAAGCACTGATCTAATAGAATCAAATAGAGGCCTTTAGTAAGGTTTTGGGAGCCAGTGTGATGTAGTGGTTTGAGCATTGGACTATGACTCTGGAGACCAGGGTTTATATCCCTGGTCAACCAAGGAAAACCTTTGGGAAGACATACACTCTCTGCCTTAGAGGAAGGCAAAGGCAAACCCTCTCTGAACAAATCTTGCCAAGAAAATTTATTTATTTCATTTGTATGCCGCTTTTCTTTCTGGAGGGACCCCCCAAAAAAAAACATGATAGGGTCACCAGAAGTCAGAAATAACTTAAAGGCACACATCAACAGTAAGGTTTTGGACCTAAACTTTCAGCTTCTACTTTGAGTACCTCCTCAATACATGCTTAGGATTTCTGTATTTTGTTGCTTTAGAATGAACATTCATAAACTATTTTTCGGCCAAACTTGATATTTATACTTAGGTTATCGTCACATTTTTGTGCAGTTTTGAAACTAAATAGAAAACTTCATTTTCTTCCTGGTTTGGGTTCATGGAACTGTGTGAAAATAACTTGATTGTCAGTGCTATCAGTCACATTTTTATTTCATCCAACTCATAAGCAAAGTCATCAACATTAAGCGGGTGATGCTGGACAAATATCCTAGACCAGTGGTCCCCAACCT